CATGTGTACAAGGCATTTATAATATAGTTAAGGATGGCAGATTGACTTCAGACAAGTACCTATGCTAGCATTTCTCTCAAGGCCTAATTGACTAGTAAAGATATAAAAGGCAAATGGCACTGAGGCAAAAATCATCTGGAGAAGTTTTCCAGAGGAGGGGGAAGATAGTTATAATGTTAACAGGAGGTAAGATGGAATCTCTTAAATGTTTTTACTCTCTTTTTTTCATTGAAAATATTTTCCAGGAATGACTTAAAACTTGAGACTTTTAGCCAAAAATTTCCTGTTCTCATTAGATCTGTATCAGTGGTTCTTTATTAGAGGTAATTTTGTGCTTCCCCCACCCCCAGCTCTGGGGCCATTTGGCAGTGCTGTAGGTATTTGGTGGGTATAGGCAGAGATTCACAGGACTCTCCCTGCCACCCACACAAACACACACACAACAAAGTCTCAAATGTCAATAGTGCTGGGTTGAGAAACCCTTTTTACGTACACTTGAGGGATAATGAAAGGATAGTGAGTCTTAACCAGCTAACTGCCATGCGTCCAACACGGAAACCATCCCCACACTCTCCGATATTTTGAATTTAACTGTGTCTGTAGACGCTTATGGTGTACAAAGGGTTAATCACGGGTCTGCCACTAGTCTTATGTGACTAATGCCTCCAGGAGTTATGGGACTGGGCTGGAATTAATGAGAAGCATGAAAGTGGTATATGATTAATTGTTCCATCCTGAGCTTAATTTAGTTGAAATAAGTCTAAACCAGGGATATAATGAAGGATTATGGACAAAAAGAACTATAGGATATGTGAATAAAAAGAGCCAGGTTTGTGTCATATCCAATATTTATATCTTAAGCATTGACTGTCTCAACTTTTATTCTTTACATGTTATCTCTGGGCTTAATGGAAAGAGGAATTTATAATTAGAGAGTTCTGGATTTCGTGTTCAGATTCTAGCTGTGTGTTTTTGGACAAGTTAATCTGAGTTACAGTTTACTCTGTAAAAAAAGAATAAGATAAATCTTCTGTAAAGAAGATAACAAAATAAAGGATATAAAAGTTGATTTCTTTTTGTGTGTAGAGGGCATATTTTGTTAATTGTGAGGATTAAAAGAGTATTGCATCGTTAGTACTGAGAATGTTAGCTTACACATTCAGAGTAGGGCAAAAGTAGATTTATAGTTGTGAGTACAGGAAACACAGTTTATTCTTGTATAATCATTAAGTAATTATTATTTTCCATATGAACAATTGTAAACCTGCCTTTGGCCCACTCTGTAGTTAACACTCAGTAAATGTTAGCTATTATGATTATTAAACCTTATAATAGTACTGCAAGGTAAGAAATGTTATACCCTCTGCATAAATCTAGAAACTGAGGTACAAGACCACGCAGTAAATAGAACTAGGATTCAAATCCACGCCTTTTTCTTCTCCAAATTTATATGCTTATATTACCTTGATAAATCGGTGGAGAAGAGCAAAAAAAATAGAAGGAAAAATACTTTTTTAAAGAATGCCCATTTTCCGTATTAAAATTTCCCTTTTTGTCCAGGTTTTTAATTCTCTAGATGTCTCGTGGAATGCGTGAGATGAATTTTGTTTCTAAAATAACCATGTGCCTTTAGATTTGTACAGAGATGTGCACGTAATTTCACATATTATGATTTTTTTCGAAACTTTCATTAAAAATAAATAAAAGCTCCTCCCAAGGTTTAAGAATTTCCCATTTCAAATCTTTATTCTAGAGGCTGTGGTTTTGTTTCTGACACTTCCTGGAAGAACTCTATGCTCATGACCAGCAGCACTGTATATTTTTCTTCTTGATACTGTCATTTTTATCTATCATTCCAATGGTGCCAATTTACTAGTCTACTGAAACTGAATGGGATGGTTTCATAACCAGTTTAATATACTCACTATGCCTTTCAGAATAATTGACTTAACTTCTGCTTCCCGCCGCTCTGAGGTTCCAAAAGAATTAGTTGAGTAGGTGGATTAATTTATTCCTTCCTACTCCAGTATTTTGTGGTATCAATAAAACCATAGATACTAAAGCCAGTTTCAACAAATACCTAAAAGAATAAATCCTTCTTAATAGGATGGCATTTCCATGCCCTGAATCCAGTGGGGGAAAATCTGGCAAACAAGGGACTATTTGTGTAATCCTTTTCTATAAGAACTAGTAGCCCTGCGCACAAATCTGTGCGCCAGTAGCTCGCTGCCCCGCCCTCCTGTAGCTCTTTCTCGCCTCCCCTCCCCCACCACCTCCCTCCCTCATAGCTAGCTACTCTGCCCCCTCTTGTAGCTCTCCACTGCCCCCTGTAGCTTGCCCCACCCTCCTGCTGATCTGTGATCCGATCGATCGATCGATCGTTACTCAGTCGGTTGTTATGCTTCACGGCGTAACGACTATTTGCATATTACATCTTTATTATATAGAATAATCTTTACAGAGGGTGAACATGGGCAGAATTTTGCTAAATGTTGAACTAAGAAAAACAGAGTTTCTTTAAAATTGTAAATGAGTAAAGTAAAAGCCAAGATTTTTGAGCAGTCGGCTTTGGATAAACAAACGTGGATTGTTTTACTAATTGTGAAGATTTATGCTTAAAACTTTCTTAAAATATAAGCAGTAAGAACATAGTGAACTCTATTGTTAACTAAATCCTCCATTGTTTATAAGAAAGTACTGAGCAACGTCCTTCCAACTTATTTTAATTAGCCCAGAACCTGATTATAAACTCAGTCATCTGTGAACCTTAGAAGGATTCTGAAATTTAAGGTTCTTGTTTTTCTCTTAAGTAATTAAAAAAAAAAAATCTAAGCCCAGCCAACTCAAAGTTACTGTCAAGAGAAGATAAAGAATGCCACTTTATTTAATAAAATCACAAACTTCTAGAGCAGAATGGATGTTAGCAATCATGTATAGCAACCATCTTATTTCACAGGACAGAAACTTAAGACACAGAACGATTGATTGCTTTGTCCAAGATTGCACTGGTAGGCAGAGCCAGGAATGAAATCCAGGCTTTCTGACCTATCCCACTTCTCTTACCACTATTCTGACTTTTTCATAACTTTGAAAAATTGGGATGTCCATATTTTTTTTATTGTGTAAATACATTTAGCACATAATCATTAAATTAACCACAAATATCTTTGACTACTAAACACGTGAATATGAAATGAAAAGTTTACGGTATCCAGTGACGAGTCTAGCTCCCTCTCACTCCTGCCTATCCCAGACCCCCTCCTTCAAGGCAGCCATTTGAAAGAATGAGGCATTTAAAATAGACTGCTTTGGTCTAATAACACCCATGCTGATGTTATTCTTCTTGGATTGCAGTCTGACCTGCCAAGGTTAGATATTGCCCAACAGTGGAAAAACATAAGCTGTGGAATTGGAATATGGAGAGATCTGTGAATTAGATTTGAAAATTACCCAAATCCAAGTTATTTTCAGTAACAGAAGCATTCTCTTACAGCAGTCCTCCATTACTCAGATAATGCCTTTGGTACAAAGAGCCTAAAGTACTTTATAAGAGCCCTTGTGTATCCTCATGACATGTGAAATCCCAGTCTGAGTATTGCATAATCGCATACAACTGCTGTAAAGTCTATAGCACATTGGCCAAAATAAAAGAATGATGTTGCTGTTTGAATAAACCTCCCTAGTTAATGGAACCGTCAGTGTGGGACACCACATGGAACGCACTCAGCCTCCTCAGCCTACCTCGATGAAACCTCTGTGCCTGGCCCGGGAGGGGGTACACCCAGGCATCTGGCCTGGGGAGTCCCTCACAGAATGAGCAGGCTGGATGAGGAGGCGGAAGGGGCTGCACCTGCACCTGAGGCCCTGCCACAGGAGAGGTTGTGGAGCAGGAGAAGCAGCAGGGCAGCAGCAGGCTTTCAGAATTGAAGCTTCCAAAGCCCCTCAGCAGGATCTTGTTCAGATCATTTAGCCTCCCTCCTGCATGGGTTATAGCCACGGGCAGTAGGGAGGCGAGGCAACTCCCCATGTGGTGAGAGGTCAGGTTGGAACAAGCTGCAAACTAGACCCAGGAGGCCACACATTGGCCTTGTCCCTGTTTAAAAGACCAATCTCCCCCAAGGGGAAGGAAGGAGGCCTGAGATAGATTACGTGGCTCTCCTCCATACCTATGTGTGACCGAGCCTCTGACAGCAGTTTCACCTGGCAGCGGGGAGGACGCAGGAAGTCTGTAGGTGGTTGAAAGAGAGAGGAGAATGGGTGGGTGCAGAGCTAGGGAGAGGAAAGGCAAGGTCGGAGGAAGTTGTCTTTTTGAGAGAGTTCTTTGGCTTCATTGCTGTTAGGCTCTTGAGCTGTGGGTTTCAGGTTTTACTCTGCGGCAATGTTTTGTTTTGTTTTCAGTGTCCCTGATGCTCACACTCTCCTGGAGTACTTGGTAAAAGTTCAGATCCCTTGTCTTCTGTTTCAGAAATTGTGCCTCCATTGGAAGTAGGGAGAATACTGGGGGAGTTCTAATAAGTGCCAGGTGGGTTTGGGGGAACACTATCAAATCAGGGCTCAGGCCTTTACTTTTATCAGTTCTAGATGTTTTGCTCTAGATTTGTCCTCCATTGTAAATACAAATACTGAGAGTAGTGAGGGCCTTAACTACAAGTAGCTTATTTATATCAAAATTAGAGCTGTATTTCAAAAAAGGCATGCATGTTCCTCTTCACTTTAAATACTGGCATATTACTAATTTATAGTGACTATTAAAACGTCAGTGGTGTTAATCTTGATAAACAGAAGATTTGTTATGATGGTTCTGTCATTATATTTGACCTGGACCAGTACTCTGAGTTTTGAAAATTAATCAGTATTTAGAGAGTATGGTAATTGGTAATAACTATGTTTTACAGTTAGAACTTTTATAATGAGGAAATAGCCATTGTTTTGTCATCACAGTCATTTAACAACTTAAAATGTAAGTTAAAATTTTCAGTGGTTGTATTTCTTCTTTTTAGAAAGGAACCAAGGCTTTGGCCTTCTCAGCTCATTGGCTGGAGCAAACCATAGCATTGGATCAGCAGACCCGTGTCACTCAGAGGTAAAGATTTTGCCTTTATCTTTTCTCCTCTTTTACTTTAATTCTTCCTTGTCATTATGAATTGATTATTTTTTCCTTTCCATTTAAGAAGTGGCAGAGAATACTAAAAATAGATAAAAGGGGACTCTAATGAAGTCCTCTTGTGCCTGGTACCTGTGAGAGAGGCTGGTTCAGCATCAAAGCAGTGAGCCGTTCAAGATGTTTGCAATCTGGGTGGTTTCATGTGTTCTTATTAGCGTACTTTTTAAAAAGTGCTAGAGCCTAAACCGGTTTGGCTCAGTGGTAGAGTGTTGGTCTGAGGACTTGAAAGGTCCCAGGTTCCATTCCGGTCATGGGCATGTTGGTTGCGGGCACATCCCCAGTAGGGGGTGTGCAAGAGGCAGCTGGTCGATGTTTCTCTCTCATCGATGTTTCTAGCTCTCTATCTCTCTCCTTTCCTCTCTGTAAAAAATCAATAAAATATATTTAAAAAATAAAAAAAAATAAGAAGTGCTAGGATTTCCTTAAGGCATAAAGTTGCCTCCAGATCTTTAAACATAAAATAAAATTGGTGTTTCTTTTTCAGTACTTCCCATGTATAAGGCCCTATACTACAAATCTGAGGCCAAGTCCTTGTCCTCAGAGAGCTGAATAGGCTGATTTCAACCCTCTGTCCTCAAGGACTTTGGTCCAAGTTTACCTTGGTCGTCATGCTGGAACCAAGGGCGCCTTAGGGCCACATTGCGCTTCCAGGCATCTTTTTCATCCTTCTCTGAGCAGTTTATGATATGTCATGTTCATTTTCACATTCCGAATAAAGCATGGTCTTAAAACAAACTATGTTTTAATAGTCAGTAGCAGAGTCATGACACTTTCTAATTTTTTTTTTTGTTTGTTTGTTTAGGAAATTACTCCTCTAAGTTAGTGAATTTTTAGCCATTTATTTTTTTATATGAGGTTGAACCTTCTTCATCTCTCCTTGTGTCTAGCTCCTAATATGGCCTCTCTAATGCCAGCCAATGGGTGGAAGTGTGAGCCTTTCGGATTTAGTTCTCAAGTAGTCTGCTATTAAAGTATTGCTTGTGTGTTGTGTGTTTTCCTTAACAGCAGCCCCGTCTGCCAGCAGCAGATTGGACTGGATCCCTCCTGGATCGTCAGAGTGGTGCAGCCAATACAGCAGATGCTCAGGTCGATAGCATTGTGGGTAAGTTCCTCCTGTGGCTGCTAAGAGACAGCTCTGTGGAGTTTGGAATAGCCAATGTATCAGGGAGTAAATCACCTGGGGAATATTGGCTTTATATATGGGCAAGGGAAGAAAGTTGATAGTGTCACCCCAAATGAATGTGAGCCTTGAGATGGCTATCGGAAAAAGGAGGAAGAATATCCACATTGCAAATCTATATCATTTCTCTCTGATTCTCTTAGCAGGATCTTGATTCATATCATCTAGCTAAAACAGACAGGACCAGGTGGTGAAACAGCTTTATATCTCCATATTACCCAGTTTTTTTCATAGTATTTAAGAGTAGTTAGAGTTGACGGTATCAAGAATAATATAAACTTTATAAGCCGTTCACATCCTTTAAAGTTTTTTTTATACCCACTTTCCCACCTGGTAATTACGTTTGGCAGAGAAGTTTTTTATGGAGATGATGTTGAGGCCCAGAGCAGTTCAGTAATTCATCTAACAGTATCTATTATAATAAGAAGGTCTTGGAACTGAAACCAGAATCTAGTCTGCTGTCCAAAAGCCAGAAAGCCAAGGAGCTTAGTTGAAATAACTATAAATATTCTTTTGTTAGGGAACTACTATATCTCTACTTTCTCTTTATGCCACAGTAATAGTTGTTTGCAGGCCCGATCCACTGATGGATGTTACAATTCGTAGATAAAAATTTTAGAAGAAACATGATATTTGCATACTCTAAAAGCATTTCTGCTAAGTATTTATGTATTGCAGAGGGGAAATAGTAACTTTATATTAGAAAAACTTACAGATACTACTTCAAGAGATGAAGATGACCTCACCAGTAATAAGATATACTGACATCATCTTCCCCTGATCTGTATCAGACAGGCCCTCACTTTTGTGCTGTTTATGCCAAGTTGCATAAACTCGATCAAATAATAGGAAAACATTAGACAAACCCAAATTGCGGAACATTATGCAAAATACCCAACCAGGTCTCTTTAAAAGTCATAAAGGATGAGTAGAGACGCAGGAACTGTCAGAAATTGGAGAAGTCTAAGAAGATTTGACAGCTCAGTTCCGTGTAGGATCTTGGAACAGAGAAAAAAGGCTTTTAGTGGAAAAGCTGATGAAGTTTGAATGAAGTCTGTGGTTTAGTTAACAGCACTACACCATTATTAACTTCTTGACATTTATAATTATAATGTGGTTATATAAGACGTTAACATTGAGGGAAGGTGGGTGAAGGGCATATACTATTTTTACAACTTAAAAAAACCTCACCTAAGCCCTAGCCGGTTTGGCTTAGTGGGTAGAGTGTCAGCCTGCGGATCGAAGGGTCCTGGGTTCGATTCTGATAAAGGGCACCCACCTCAGTTGCAGGCTCCTGTTGTGCAGGAGGCAACCAATTGATGTGTTTCTCTCACAGTGATATTTCTCTCTTCTCTCTCTAAAATTCAATGGGAAAATATCCTCAGGTGAAGATTTAAAAAAATTGGAAAAAAAGAATTCTTACCCAAGGACATATGTTTACTAATTATTGGAGAGAGGAAGGGGGAGAGAGAAATTGAAGGGAAGGAACAAGAGAGAGAGAAAAAAAAGAGAGAGAAATACTGATATGAGAGAGAAGCATTGATCGATTGTCTCCTCTATGTGCCCAGACTAGGGATTGAAGCTACAAATGTGCCCTGATCAGGAATAAAGTCCGTAGCCTTTTTGGTGTACGGGACCATGCTCCAAGCAACTGAACAACCTGGCTGGGGCTTTGTTACTTTTTTTGTAAAGCTAAAATTATTTCCAAAAATAGTTTTTTAAATTTATCTTTATTGAAAGTATTACACATGTACTCTTTCCCCCTCCCTTTGACACCCTTCACTCCACACTCGCCCTTTGCAAGGCCTACCACACTGTTGTCTGTGTCCATGGTTTATGTGTATAAGCATGTAAGTTCCTTGATTAATTTCCATGTCTTGGATCTCTCTTGTTAGTCTGTTTATTTTGTTCATTATAGTGTGTGTGTGTGTGTGTGTGTGTGTATGTGTGTGTATTAGAGGCAAAGCTAAACCAACAGATGTAAAACACTTCAACTCCATGTTTCACTCCTTCTTTCTGTACTAAACTTATTTCCATTCTTCACCTCCCATTCACTCGTCAGTGCACTCCCATCTAACTTCTGCCTCCATATCCCACTAAATCAGCTCACCAACAAAGTCCATGCCACTGAGTGTAATAGCTGTCTTCCATTTCTCCTCCTGGCCTCTTGGCAGCATGTAATATGAGGGAGCAATCCCTTTTGAAACAGTATCTTTTCTTGACTCCCCCAACACATCTTAGTTGTGTGATTTTTCTGTCTTTCTGGTTATTCCTTCTCTTTTTTTAGAAATTTATCCTTTTTTTTTTTTTTTTTTTTTTTTACCCAGCCTTTAAATATTGCCATTCCTCAATGCTCCACTTTAATTCCTCTTCCAAATCTGTACCTCACAAGTGATTCTATCCATGTCCACAGTTCAATTATGTAATCACAGACAGGTCACACATTTTTATCTCCAGCCCTGTATGCCAATTGCCAGCATGACATGCCCACTAAACTAAAACAAAATTATTAACCAAAATTCATTTTTAACACCAAATTATCTGTATAACATTGTAGTACATGCAAAGGATAAGTTACCATCCTTGTCTTCAAGGAGCTTACAGTCTAAAAGTGCAGAGGCAAGCCTTGTAATGGTTAAGGTTGTGGGCTTGAGTCCTAAACACCTGGGTTCAAATCTTGGCTCAACCACTAGTAATGGATTGACCTGGAGTAAGGTAGTTAGCTTCCATGGGCATTAGTTTCCCCTTCTGTAAAACAGGGGTTAACAAATCTTTCCTTACAGTGCTGTGGCAAAGGGAAATGGGACAGTGTAAGTTAAAGCACTCGGTGGTACAGACACAAAGCAAACTCTCTTACTATGATAGTCTTTATTAATGCAGTGAGGTGTCAGGATTCAAAGTGGCATTTGCCAGTGCCAAGACAGTTCCGTAAACACCGAGTGCGGGATGCATTCAAAGGAAGGAGACAGACCTGTGTGCTGGGATGGCCGGCCTGGAGTGGAGGAAGAGTTAAAATTCTCATTAAACTTGGATAATGAGGCAACATGCTGAGATGGAAATAGTGGAGGATTGGTACCAGAAGTACAGGAATTTAAATCCGCTTTACCTCTGAAATATTGTAATTTTAGATGAGTTCATTTTTAAACCCAGATTTTTTCATGTGTGAATTATGGGCAGTGAAATCTGTCCTACCCACCTTTATGGATGTCAGTAATAGATGTGAAAATATATGTTGTATAGTAAAAGATGGTATAAATTTTAGGTATTTATTGCTGAATCAGCGTATCTTAGTGGATAGGGTGCGAGTTTGATGGGGGAAAGTCGAAGAAATAGGGGGGAAGGTCGTAAGGGTCTGTGGGGTTGGGGTGGTCAGGCACCAAGTTGGTTTGGAGTGTGCTGGGGAAGGAAGGGGGAGATCTGATTGGAAAACGGCTCAGCATAGTACCTTTCTCTGCGAACCGGGATGGCCCCAGCCGTGGACTGAATGGGCGGCTGCTTCATGAGTGCGCTTGGGACCGTCATGTTCATGGCAGCGGCAGTCTCCCAAAACTTCACTGATTCCAAATAGTACACAGCTATCAACGTCAAGAACAGAAAAATTCTCTCCAACTAGAGGCTCTGGACGTTGCAACATGACTGAAGTAAACACCACTTAAGGATGAGCTAGAAAAATTGGAAGTATGTGACTAGAGGATTGTGGAGGTCAGCTGGGCGCCTATGGCTAGAACGTGAGCCTGTTGTTGCACATGTCCATTGTCAGCCCTATATTATAGGGTCTGTAGTCCTCAGTGTGGCAGTATTTGGACGTGACTTCTGGCGGGAAGTTATTTCGATTGAGATTTGCTGTTCCCTTGCAGCTAGGAAGATCAGAATTAAAGGTTTCATTTGTTACCTTGGTTTGAAGCAGAGGAAAATGGGATAGCGATGAATAAGAAACTTTGGAGATAGTGAAGGGCAGTTTGTCCAGACTGTTGAGAGCTCAGAATTAGAATTTAATTGGGATAGAAATCCTGCGAATAGCACCTGATGCCTGAAATCTGAGCACTTTACTTTTAGGTGTTCCAGTTCAAGTTATTGGAGACTGCCTATTAAAACATTCCTGGTTGGGAAGTGTAGAACACCATGACCCCTCATCCAGGCTGCACCCCCCCACCCCCCAGTGGTTAGGGGCAATGAGGCAGGCAGGCAAAGGTGGTTAGGAGCGATCAGGCAGGCAGGCAAAAGCATTAGGGATGATCAGGCAGGCAGGTGAGCAGTTAGGAGCCAGCGGTTCCAGATTGTGAGAGGGATGTCCAACTGCCAGTTTAGGCCCGATCCTGAACCAGGAGTTGAACATCCCCTGAAAGCTCCTGGATTTGGAGAAGGTGCAGGCCAGGCTGAAGGACTCTCCCCCCGCAATCTCCCCTTCTCCTCCCCCCCCCCCGCCCCCGCCCGTGCACAGGCCTCTGGAATATAAATAACGTGTGACAATGTGTTGAATCCTTATTTCAGATCCTATGTTAGATCTGGATATTCAAGAATTAGCCAGTCTGACTACGGGCGGAGGAGATTTGGAAAATTTTGAAAGACTGTTTTCAAAGTTAAAGGAAATGAAAGGTAAGCAGATGAATCCATTATGCCTAACATGTTCCCATATTGATACTCCCTGGTCTTATATTGTAGAATTTCATTTGGTAACTGCTGATTTGATTCCATTCTCTGGTCTCAGCTATCTTGAGAAACATAGCTACTGGGAGACTGTGCCATCCTCTGGTGGTAAAAATCCCCTGGGGTAAATTTTCATCTTCCTTTATTCTCTTTCCTCTTATTTTCCCTTCTTCTCTTGCCTCTGTTTCTTTCAGTATGTCTCATTAATGTGGAATCAGTGACACCCTACCAATTTACTCACATCATTCCCATCTGGAGAATTTGGAAGACTTAAACTTCCTAGCAGCTATAATGACTACACTATAAACATGTCTTTGAAACCCATCTCCTATCTCCCAGTGTTAGAACATCCGTACACTCCAGATTCTCTTGTGCTATTAGATGAGTTTCTTAAGATATATTTTCCCCCCAGACAAGGCTGCGACACTTCCTCACGAGCAGAGAAAGTTGCATGCAGAAAAGGTGAGCCAATCAGTCAGGTATTTATTGCCTACAAAAGGTCCAGGCTGTTAGAATTATAACACTTATTGATTAATTACACTTTTCTACCTCTAAAAAGTCTTACTGTGAATTTTTCATTGGATTTTAACTTATAACTAATTGACTGTTTACACAGTAGTTACTTAGTTGCTGCAGTCAAACCAAGATTTTTCAAATGTATGTTGAGTGACATGGAACTTTCATTGAGACTCAGAATGTTTGCCTTTCTAACTTTTGGGCTGGAAAACTCCGTTATTTTGTTTTAGTTTGTTATTACCAATGCAACACATGTTCTTAACAGGAAACATACATGGTTTATGGTACTGCGTTATATGAATGTGTCATAATTTATTCAGTGCACCTTTGGACGGGTCATGTGCAATTTTTGCTTCTATAAAGAGTGAAGCTCTGCATATCCTTACACATCACCATTGTGCACAACTCTGATTATATCCTGAGTGTAAATTTCTAGCAGTGGAAGTCCTGGGATAGGATATTCAAGGGTTTTTGATATATGTTGCAAGACGGTTGGAGGGCAAGGTATAGAATTTTAGGTCTTAATCAGTTCAAAGTCTGACATGAAGTGAGCTGAAATTTAACTTGGCTAAAATGTGTTGCATGTTTCTTTTGACATAGGTTGCCAAAGCCTTCTGGATGGCAATTGGGGGAGACAGAGATGAAATTGAAGGCCTTTCATCTGATGAAGAACACTAAATTTTTCCTACTAGGGTTTGGCCAACAAAGATGCTAACTCTCAAGACCTGAGATACTTTTCTATCAACCTCGTTACGTTTTGCTGAACTTTTCATCATCATTTTGGCTGCCTGATTCGTTCATAGGATCCTCTTAATTTTAGTTTTTAGTAGAAGGTTAAGGAGAAAGTTTTTATCCCTCGGGATATTGTAAAGGAGTGAGGAGTATAATGACAGTGAGGACTGATAATTTTTCAAATATGCTTTTTTTGTTCTAGGAATGGGAGTGAATGAGAGGCTCAGAGGTTGTGTGTGATTTGCCCAAGTTAACACATTAAGCACCCAGTCAGTCACCGGTGACTGACACTATACTTTCCATCTGGAAGACAAAACAGGCTGGGCGCTTAACCTGTTAAAGAAGAAGCCACTCTTAGTCAACTTTTCTGTAGCATGCCCCATGGTCACGCTTGATGCTGCAGATCAGGAGCTTGTGCCACCTTTCCTGGGTGTTCTCGATTTTCTGCTTCCGAGGAGCTTGCTGCTCTGAGCTTTGATGCTTTTGCTGGGAAGAAAGGAAGCAGCTGTAGGTTAGTTTTGTGCTGTGGTATAGGTGAGGCCAGTGGCAGTGGCCCTCAGGTTAATATCTAGCTAAAAAGTTGCTCTGGGCATTTCAATTCAAGTGTAGTGTCTGAGCTCATGCTAGAAAGCATTGAGGAGCCCGTGTAACATTTTATATTATAATAAATGAGGCAAAGGTTTCCTACTCTGATAGGGATAAAACAGATCCCTTTACAGAGTTGAGGAGTAGGAGGGTGGGTGCGGTTTGCATGTTTGAAGAGACGGAGGGGAACTTAAGTAATTCTCTAGAATGGGCCGTTGAAACAATCTGTGATCACACACGGAAGTTTTGGCATTGCCTTTATCATGAATAAATTCTTCTTCCTTAGAGTTTTCTTGAGATGTCAGAGCTGTGTTGTCACGCTTTACACCCTCCTCTCTGAGAGACAGGTCACTGCCAAATAGTAATACTAAAGAGTGAGTGAGGTGGGAAAGGATGTGAAAACATTAGGCAGTGAGTCCCGGAGTCCCCAGGAAGTGTTACTTCCCGGGCTGAGAGGGTCAGCCCCAGGGGAACTGGCCACTGAAGGGAAAGTTTCCAAAGGAAGAGTTGGCAATATAGCAAATAACCCAGCTCTGTGGTGGCCACTGCATGGCTGAATGGCACAGGGCCCCAGAGCTGGGTGGTGCTGGCACCGGCGCTGAGCATGCTCACGAACAGAAACAACTTTCAGAGCCCTGTGCTCCATCTTCTGAGCACTGGGCCTGAGGCAGAAGCAGGAAGTACGGAGGGCTTACAGTGCCAGGTCAGGGCAACCATAGGAGAGAAGGAGGCAGTGATTGGAGCATTCGGGAAGAGCCAACTTCGGTGACTGTCTTGCTTGGTGACTTTTTATTTATTTATTTACTATTCTGAAGGATCATTCACCATTCCATCAGTGTTTCCTTGAGATGACAGGATCAGCCATTCATTAAGAATATAAGGAAAGCCGTAACCGGTTTGGCTCAGTGGATAGAGCGTCGTCCTGCGGACCGAAAGGTCCTGGGTTCGATTCCGGTCAAGGGCACGTACCTTGGTTGCGGGCACATCCCCAGTGGGAGGTGTGCAAGAGGCAGCTAGTCGATGTTTCTCTCTCATCGATGTTTCTAACTCTATCCCTCTCAATTCCTCACTGTGTAAAATCAATAAAATATATTTAAAAAAAGAAACATTAAAAAAAAAAAAAAATATATATATATATATATATATATATATATATATATATATATATATATATATATGGAAAGTTAGCTCCTTGCTGCAAAATGAAAGGTGGAACATGTTTTTCTTAAAATATGAGAGGTTTTAGAAAATGAATTAGGATCATTGGTTGGAGAAAACAGACTCAAAAAAGGAAAAGCTGTGAACTTGATTTTGTGGCTTAAAGCCAGATTATTAAAATGTGATTTGTTTATAAAGTCTGCTAATGTGTATTGTTATGATTTTATTTTTTAGTAGAAAATGTATGTAGGAGAAGCCTTTCTTCCTTCATTGGATTAGGCATAGGTAGTGAATAATGTAAGGGTTTGTCAAACTCACTATTCTGGATCCAACATGCATATTTATACTGACATCTCATGTTTTTAAGACCTCAGCTATCAGCCTCTTCTAGAGGAATTGTAGGATAAAAGAATACAGTGGCATTAAGAAGAGTGATCATGAGCTAATCTAGTATATATATATGTAAAAGCCTAAGTGACCGGTTGCTATGATGCACACTGACCACCAGGGGGAGACACAACACAGGAGCTGCCCACTGGTGGTAGTGTGCTCCCACAACGGAGTACCGCTTAACTGACCGACTGGCACCAGATGCTGGGCTCCCAGCTAGTGGGGGCAGCTGTGGCAGCATGAGCCTCTCCCGCCTCCATGGTAGCCTACTGAGGCAGCGTGGCACCTGGCCAGGGCTCGGGCTCCTCCTCCTCGGCTGCCTGCTGCTTTGCACACAACTACATTCCTCGGGGGATGTCGGACTGGCGGTTTTGGTCCGATCCCCAGATTGCGAGATGGCGCAGGCCAGGCTGAAGGACCCCACCATTGCACGAATCTGTGCAACGGGCCTCTAGTAGTGTAATACAAGTTGTACTTTATCTAAAGTGACCTCCGTAGTTGGCATTCACAAGTTATTATGGATTGTCCATCTGGGATTTAAAATGAATTATCTACCCCCTTCCTCTTGGAATATTTCTCTGTTTGTATAACACACTGTTTGGCACATAGTGGGCCCTTAATTTTGATTTGTATTTGATAGTTTGATAAGTATTATCATACAGTTTGAAGGTCCATGAGTGTTCGAAGGTAGGGAGAGACATAAGCCTTTTTCCCCCGAGAAAATTGTGTGTTATGTAATAATTTTAGAGTGATGAAGACATAGATATTTTTATAATTTTTAAAATATGTTATCCTGCCAGAATATGAGAAGATTGACAGAAGCAGTTTGCTCGCTCTCTATTTATAGAACGTGGCCACATCTAATTCAGAGGAGCTGGAGATTCAGAGAAGTTAGATGGCTGAGTAATATGGGATGTGGTTCAAGGACCATAGAGCATGTCAGGCCATTACTGCAAACCACTTGTAACACATGAGATGTGATAAATGGCTAACTTCAAGTTCTCATCATGGAGCGGTGGGGGTAAACATGTTTGCCATGGCTGATGTTGGATCCCCTCAACCTTGGGCCATTCTCTCAACAATGGCCCTAGGGAGAGCACGTGGAGTGGCCCGTACCTGCCTTGGCCTGCCATAGAAAGACAGTGTTTGAAGAATCACTGTCTAAGGGTAAGATGAGAGCTCCATGAACTATTCTGAGCTTGTGTTTGCTGATGCAAAGCTAAATTTAGCAAACACGTGTCTAGTGTGGTCAGAGGTCCTGATTCATTAAATGCTCCGATTGATGGAGACAGACTTCCAAAGAATGTTGTAATGAGTTAGAGTTATCCTCACACACATCATACCCCTGCCACACACACACACACACACACACACATACACACCCAAATTTAAAAATAGGGAAGACAATTTAGCTACAGCATTCTGTCATTAAATATAAAATTTCATTAGAGGATTGTAGGTGGAGAAAATGTATAATATCTGGTCAAGTGTACCTACTTACTAGGATTGGCTTGAAAACAACACCCTATTAACTTTCCCATCATTTGTGTGCATGCGGACTCTGCAGGGCAGAATTCTAATTTTGATTTAGATTCCACTTGGGGTTAGTTTAGTGATCCATGCTTGCACCTTTGGCATTTAAACTCCTGTAGAAAGGGTCTTAGAAGTTCTTTAAGTTTTATATTTTGGGCATGACCTATATGTTTGTTATTAACATCACATTAAGGTCTTACTCTTAATGTAGGTTTCTTTCTTCAGAGTGAAGTGTGTGTGTGTTTTGCAGTTCTTCTATAATAGAGGAAGCATCTTGCTCTGTTCCGAGGTGTTTCAGATTTGCAGAATGAAGAATTAATAGAGGTAATAGCAACGTATGGGCCTTTTGCTGGAGCACTACCGAGCACATTCCAGCTTTTGATGACTTACAGTTCTACTTTGTTTCCCATGGGAAAAGTACTGATTCACAACCAGGACTTAACAGTTATTACTGCATCTTTGGAATACAGGTTTGGCAAGAAAATTTTTTTTCTCTAGACCCCTTTAATATCTGTGTGTATATGTTGCTAGACTCAAATACTCTCCCCCCAAAACTACAAATTTGGGCGGCACAAATAGGTCACGTATAGAGGTACATGGCCAGCCTTCCTGGTTCTCTCCTATGAAGGATGTGAACAGTCATTGCCTCTCCCCTTTCTCTTGTCAGCCAGGTGGCTTTAATGCTATAACCACATGGGCTAAGTGAGGCTTGGGGTAGGGACGGTAAGAAAATAGCATAATTTAAGAGAGAGAAGATTCTCTTCATCTGAGCTGAAGGACTTGGTCTGCACCAATCTTGCTGCTCCAGGGAATTCTCAGGAAGTCATACATGGTGAAGTTAGAAGGCCTAAAACATGAGAAAAAGCAACTAACCTATTCCTAATGAAACAAGGACCCAGGGAACTTTCTTGGTGCCAGACTGGGCCAGGTGCGGCAGTGGCTGCAGACTCAGGATGTATTTTCTCTGCTCTAGCAGCTCATCGTCCAACTCGGGTGGCAGGAAGGGACAAGCAAGATGAGGGCACAGAAGGCGGAATGCTGGGCAGAATGTGCAGAGCACTCTGATCAGCCCTAAATGCTCGTGGGAAGGAGAGCAGTGTTGGGAGGGGCATAAAATGCAGCTGGGAGCAGTGTTCTCAAACTTGAGCCCACATCAGGATCACTTGGCGGGCCCAACCCCAGTTTCTGATTCAGTAGGTCCATGGTGGGGTCTCGGAATGTGTTTCTACCATGATATGATACCGTGTTTCCCGAAAATAAGACATCCTCCGAAAATAAGA